CCATGTGCAGTAGAATGGCAATAATGTACCTTGTGTGAAGAGGCCAGTTTCTCTTGCTGGGCCAGAGTCAGTGGCTGTCCCTCCCTGGATCCCTTCCATCACTGGCTTCCCTTTATTCAACTCCAGGGCCAGCTCCTCTGCTGTGGTGAAGTCTTGGGTTGGAGGGCAACCCCCCATGCCAGATACATGAGCCTTTTTTTTTAATGCTAAAATCAATACAGACAATAAAATATGTCAGCAGACACTATTCACCTAATTTGTAAAAAAAAACTTTCACCCATCAAGTCACTTACCAGACTGCAAAATGTTCTTGTACTTAATCTTGACTTGCTGCCAGGTCCTTTTTTTGGCCAGACATGCTTGTTCTTTTGGATGGATGGATGGATGGATGCAGTGGATAAGTGTTTGCAATTAATCATACATGTGTTTGCATGAGTAACATGCATGTCCACTGGTCACATTTAAGGCAAAGTTTACAACTGTTAATTTGTGGAAATGACAAATAACTCATTGAATTGTAATTATGATGGCTTCAGTGGAGCACTGGTTATTTGGACTACTTACGCATTCAATCGGTCCGCTATTGTCTGCCAGGCGTTTTCTCTTTGTTTTATTATAGCAGCTGTATTTCCCTTTTTACATATTATATGTTTCACCTCTTCATATGTTTCCATTAGAAGCTGTTGCTCAGTTGGCGAGAAGTGCCGCACGGGTTTTATCCATTTTTGCATCATTGATTCTGTGATTGATCCCGTGGTCTGTTTAAGAATGCCGTGAACGTGCACTTATCCCAACTATATACACCTGGCTTGACATAGCTGCACGTTCTCATCCTGGCTCAGCAAACGTGCAACGGACTAAGCCAGGATGCGCTGATTAAACTAGGTCAAGCCGCACCTTTTCTGTTATCCTGGCTTTCTTAATTCTACTTTTGAGCAATGCCCCTCGGGATTCTGATTTCTCAAAACAAAACAAACAACAAACAAAAGTTAATTCAGACAAAACTAAACAAAAATGTTCTGAAAACAAAACAAAGCAAAACAATTGTTTTTGTTTACAGCAGCATTCTGATTTCTCTAGAACAAAACAAACCAAGTCAACTCAAAGCAAAACCAAAACAAAATTTACAGCATTCCAATTTTTACAAAAATAAAGTATTCTGATTTTTCAAAACAAAGCAAAACAAAAAAAAATTTTTCACGGCATTCTTATTTATCAAAAACAAACCAAAGCTAAAACCTTTGTATATAGCATTCTGATTTCTCATTATCTGATTTCTTAAAAACAAAACTACATTTTGTTCACAATATTCTGATTTCCAGTAACCCGATTTTTCATAATCTGAATTCTCAAAAACAAAACAAATTTTGTTCACAGTATTCTGATTCCTCATAATCTGATTTCTCAAAATAAAACAAACAAAAATAAACACAATGGTTATGAACACAACAAAAGACAACAAAACAGAACAGTTATAATCAGTACTACATCGACGGCGCAAAACCACACAGCCCCACAATTACAACATGAATTTCATCATGATACAACCAGATGCCCACCTTTAAAGAGGGTCTGCAACAAGAAAATGATCACTGTTTCCTATCTAATCCTATTTCCATAAAGAGACCTGCGACTGGCATTCCGGTAAGACCTCATCAGGGATCATTAATTCAGCATACTATGCAAACATCACAATGAAAACTATGTATTCCCAATTTTCTATTGTTCTGCTTATATTAAACATGCAATAAATCTGGATGTTCCCATGACTGGCATTGCTTACAACAATAATAACACTAATAGTTGCACTGCACATGCTAATTATAACAATAGTAAACTTGAGGAATTGATGAAATGTTCATTGAACTACTGCTTCTAATATCCAGTATAAAAATGCATATTAAAAGTGTGCTTCAAAATGCTTCTTTTCCTCAATGTTGACCGCTATTGCTGGTAAAACAATCAGACCGGTAATCTAATACCTACACTATTTCTTATGTTCAGGATCATAAATATGGGTTTCCCCCTCTGCTTTAGACTTTGCAACATCTATTCCTGGAAAAAAAAAGCTTTCTTTGGAAGAGCGGGACTGTGAATTCTTATGCTTATCAATCTGTCTGGTATTTGGATTTAATATTTTTCCCGGCAGTAAAAAAAAAATAATAATAATACAGAATGAAAAACAGTATTTTTTTTCCCCCCGAATATGTTTTAAGGAATGGTGAAAGTCAGAGTGCTGGTCTATGAGTGAGTGTGAGGTCAATGTATGTGACCCCGGCAAGCAGGATCAACATTAGGAACTTTCCCCACTCACACAGGGATAACACCAGCATCAGCAAGGATTACTCGTGTCCAGGAGCAAAAGCAAGCATGGCTGAACCTCTGCAGAGTGGCTGTTGCTTTAATTCACTCTGGCAGGTTCGAGCCTGGGCCACCATTAATCCAATAGTACTCACTTTTCAGGTGACTATCACTGCCTTGTCAGCCCATTTAGATCTTCATAATCCATAAACCTCTTAATCCAATTGTGTAGCAGCATCATGACGTATCCCACACTGCTATCTGCACAGAGAAAACACTCCACATATAGAGGATCCCGATCTGGGCTCAGTGTAAACACAAGAATGTGTTTAGATCCTACCTTTCAGATCGCTATCACTTTGTCTATTTAAATGGGGAATCATCTCAATTAAATCCAGTAAAGTATGGAGTGCCACAAGAATCAGTCCTAGGTCCTCTGCTATTTTCAATATACATGTTGTCCCTTGGTAATATTATTAGAAAATACGGAATTAGTTTCCACTGTTATGCTGATGATACTCAACTATATATTTCAACAAGACCAGAGGACTCTTGGTAGTTCCTAGGATAGCAAAGTCCACTAAAGGGGGTAGAGCTTTTTCATATTTGGTTCCCAAACTCTGGAATAGCCTTCCTGATAACGTTCGGGGTTCAGACACACTCTCTCTGTTTAAATCTAGATTAAAGACACATCTCTTTAGCCAAGCATTCACATAATGTATCTCATAACCTTGTACTTCAGTTACATCTGATCAAATGCACATTTTCATTCTTTTGCTTGGGTTGTACACATCATTTTTTGCTTAGTTGGAACAGCAGCTACGCTAATTTTTCTCTATCACCTTCTCTGTTTCTGCCACAGGATTGACATCCCGATGTAACTAAGAATTACACAAGCTTCAGTCTGGATCCAGCCCTTACAAAGACTTGAGATGACCGAATACCTGACAAGAGATGATGCCAACCCCTCAGAGGACCTCAGATGATGCTAACCCTCAGACAACATACAAAACTACCAAATTTTGCATTATATGACATTAACTAACTGCTTGATTTTTACCGTACATTTCTGCCATATGGACATCAGCTTGAGATAGTCACCACTGATAAGCTATTACTAAATATAATGTAGAAACTTTAATTTTCTGTAAAGCTGCTTTGCAACGATATGCAATGTGAAAAGCGCTATACAAATAAACTCAAATTGAACTGAATTGAATTGAATTTCCCATGATCTTAAATACATAAATTGACATTCCCATAAATCACATTTCAATAAATTAAAGAACAATTATTGTATATTTTTACAGTAACTTGAGTAACAGGGCAGAATGGTTGACAACAGTTTACAGCATTCTGATTGATCACAAACAAAACAAAGCAAAAGAAAAACTTTTGTTTACATCGTTCTGATTAATCAGAAACAAAACGAAGTAAAAAAAAAAAACTTGAGCAAAGCAAATCAAAAACTGTTCACAGATTTCTGATTTCTCAAAAATAAAATGAAATTAAAATGTTTATACTGCACATTTTTTACAATAACTTGGTAACAGGGTTGAATGGTTGAGCTTGAATCAATGTTATTTTAATATTACTGATATATTATTACAGTATTTGTTAATATTTTGATTTAAAGCTGCAGTCCGTAACTTTTTTTGGTTAAAAAATTATCCGAAATCAATATTTGAGCAAGTACATAACTAGCCAGTGTTCAAAACCATCGCCTTACTTTAGACCGATTCACAGCGGTTAGCTTATAATAATGTTTTCTAATTTGAGTGGTACGGGTAGGTTTTCGCGGGAAATTCGAGCATGCTGCTGCGTCATTACGTCACGTCTGTAAACATAAAGAAG